TGAAATCATAAGGAATAAATTGAATACTTCCGGCCATAACGTGAGCAGAATCGGATAAAGAAACTAGGATTTAGATTTAAAATAATAAACAAACGTCAAGAAGTTATAGAAAGTAGAAGAATAGTGGGATTGCGTAACAAATACTTAGAACAAATAACTAAATATAGACAAGAACAACGGCAAATTTTCTATTTGAACGTATCTTGGTATGACACTCACGACACAGTTACGAAAGGGTGGAATGATGGTTCGAGAATGTGTATGCCTAACATGCCTGCAAACAAAGGATCGCGACTAATCATTGTGCATTGCGGAGGAAGTAAAGGATGGGTTTCGAATTCTTTGAAATTATGTGGAAAAAACTTGAGGACTGCAATGTACACTATCATAAAAACATGGAAGCTAATATTTTCGAGGAATGGTTTGAAAACACATTGACCCCAAATTTGGTTACGAATAGTGTAATAATTCTTGACAACGCTTCCTATCATTCGCGACAGCTCATCAAAGTCTTGAGGTTGCAGTCAAGGTCAAGGATGAAAACTCTTTGCTAGTTTGTCAAGCTTTCGGAAATGTTTATTTCCTTCTTCAGGACAACTGAAAAGATGATTGTAAAAATGTATGTATAAAACGTTACAGATATAACTTACTCATCCAGTATGTAACTGAGTGATTGATTGTAAAACAAATTATTATTTTTATGTCATCAACATAATAGACCCGGCCACGCGTTGCTGCGGCTAAGGTTTTTGTTATATTACATTGTAGTAAACTATTTAAGAGGAACGGTAGGAGAACATCAGTCACGGGGACCACCATGCTTTTTCACATAGATGCCATTTGTAAAAAAATATGGCGACCTCCATGACATATTTTCTATCACCGTAACCCCTTAGTACAATGAAATTATTATTTACGATCGAAGACCGAAACGTTAAAGCTGGCATTGAAATCCACTGGATTGGGATTTGAAGGGGAAGGACTTTACGATTAATTAAAATTATCGTACAGTTGATATTAAGCAAAATCAATACAAAATAATTAATTTTGAAATTTATTATTATTTTTATTCAATTTTGTAACAAATGAGTATATTACAAAGTTGTTAGTAAATAACATTGGAGAACAGGGGAGGCTAAAGTCATCAAGACGATATACACACAGAAAAGCCCGCCGGAGGCCCGAAAATGTTTATGTTGTTGCACGCTTTGCTTAATACTAAATTTAGGGTATGGGCATGACAATGCATAAAAAGTGCATGAGGAGCTATGGACTTTATTTTAGTTTGTAAGCCATTTAAATGGCCGGCCATGACCGCAGCTCCATCATAGGTTTGCGCAATTAACTTTTGCCTAAAATTATAGGTGTCACACGTACACATTAAAAAATTAAATAAATCGTCAGCTGTGCGCCCAGATGAAACATCATGAAAACCCATAAAACGTTCTACCACATTACCATCTTTGACATATCTAAAAACGATCGAAAGTTGTGAAGTACAGGTAACATCGGTAGTTTCTTCAATTTCCGATGCAAAAAAAGAAACACTTTCAATCTCCTTGCTTATATTTTCCTCAATAATATATGCCACACTGTCTATAAGCTCATTTTGGATGGTTTTTGAGGTGCCCGAAAAAACGCTACCGTTTAAAAAAGTGCCAAATTGTGAATCATATTTGCCCCACCACATTAAAAGTTTCTTGTAATTGCCGCGATTAATCGAATTTTCGGTCTCATCAGATTTTAAACAGATCGTGTCCGCGAAAAGCTAATTCTTGCTGGGAACTCAAATAAATCGTAATATCGATATGTCTTTTTAAATTCGACCGATTTTCCCTAACCTGATTATTAAAAGAAATTATGGCCTCTTTTTGAGCTGTATCTAAAGCTGTTGCTATATTTTGTTTGCTTAACAATTTTAATTTACAAGACGAAAATATATGCTCCTTAAATTTAAAATGTCTTTCTGTAGAACGAAGAAATTTTTTTAAATCGGAGTATCCTATTTTAGACCATGTTTGGTATTCGGTTTGTACGGAAAATAAAACACAGGGCCAACAAAAAAGTTTTTCTCGTTTAATGGAGCCGTTTAACCAATCGCATTTATCGTACCAACTAATATTAAATTCTCGATTTTGTCAATTATCTGACGTTCCAATTGAAATCAAATTTGGTTGAGGCCTTCCCAGAGTTTTAATAAAGTAAAATTCATTTTCATAAGATAAAGACTTAAAATTATTTGTCCGCAACCAATCGATTATATCGTCAGATTTTTTAATTTCGTCCAACTTATCCATAATAAATGAAAAAAAACTTACCGAAAAGTGAAAACCTGAAAACACCTTGAAATTGAAAGAAAACACTTTAAAAACACATTAAAAATATTACCAAAAAGCACTGCTATAATATAATACTGCCTGTTTTATACACAAATAAAAAAATATTACCATGAAACACTAAAACACGATTTACCGAAATAGTTTTCAGTCCCGTCCGTCACGTCATCCCGTCCGAGTAATTAAATAAAAAACAAACGCAGTCGTACACTAACGGAGGCCAACTGAAGACTAGCCTCCTCTAACGCTATAATTTCTGCAACTGAAATAACAAATCGGGACGTATGACGCTGGTTGGATCGGTCTCATGGAGCCTGTGTTTTTTAAAGCGGTCGGAGGCTTGGTTTCCTTGCAGCGTATGGCATTTATTATTTCAGGTTGATGGTTTATTCGTTCATGGGCGGTGCGTTTGAGTTTTGTTGATTCAGAATACAGTGTGGTACTTACTACGTAATGAGTGATAGTGTTTTTTCGGGCATATTATGAATTTATATTTAAAATTAATGGTAAAGTAATGATACCCAAGCATTTTCAGAAAAAAATAATCATAATAATTTGTCAATTTCTTTTAATTTATTGCGATGAATAGCCTCAAATTTTATGGGGAGGCCAAGCCTCCCTTGACTCCTTTGACGAGCCGCCGCTGTGAATGATGTAGGTAGGGCAGATAGTCTTAAATCTTTAACAATAATATTTATTATTTTGAATTATAAATACTTTTAATTTCTATTGCAGCATATAGTTGCCCATAAGATAAACATGGATTTTCCAAATCTAAACCACAAATGGACATTGTTTGGCCTTGAGACTTATTTATGGATATGGCAAAAGCTAAACGAATTGAAAACTGTAGCCTTCTGAAGGGTATGGTAGAATCTGACGGTATCATTGGAATACGTGGCAACAGGACCACTTTTCCTTTAAACTTCCCAGTTAAAATGGTTGCTTCAAGAATATTTCCGGTGATCTTTTTGATGACCAAATGCGTAACGTTGAATAATTGAGGTGGATTCAAATTACGTAGGAGAATAATAGGGAACCATTCTTTAATCGAAAATTATGTGGTGGCATTACAGGTATATCTAGTGAATTTAAAAATTTAATTGGAAAATTTACATTTTCATTTTCATCAACAACAGTATCGATTGATTTAAAAGACATCAGAACGCCTGGTAACAACTGTTGTATCTGGAGGTTAATTTCGTCAAAATCAACATTTTTGGCTGCTAAAATCGCCCGATGACTGAGCCAGTTATGATTCAAGTAATTATTCTGTATATCCGGAAAAATACCCTGAATCAATTCATTTTTTTCCTGAAGAACAGTGCAGAAATTGTTTGGCAATTTAATGCATTGCGTATTTGGTTGCAATTCTATTTCACCGTTCCCATTATCTAGTAATTGTTAAAAACTAAAAACAATTGAATTTCACGATATTTCGTTTAATACAAAATAAATTTAATTTATACTTTAGCTTCAACAACACGAGGTGGTTATGCTATTGAATTGTAGCTTGTATGACACGTTTGTAGGTTTAACGTAGCAGCGCCATCTATTGATTACTTAACTCAATCCAGTCAATAGATATCGCCATCTGTTGAAATCGTTTGGAGATAATTGTGACAGATAATTGTGAATGTGAAATAACAGACAAATAATTTGCAATAAAATAATATCGCGACTATAAATTAAGATGTAAGCTATCCTATCTTTCAAATTAGATCAAACTGCACACAGTGATTCTTATATAATCAGAAATGATTATTGAATAACGAAATAAGTTAGCTCGTTAACTGTATTATTAAAGGGGAGCTGTTGGAAGGTGGGTTGCACTGTATCATTTACTTGAACTATACTATAATATTGCTATACTTACATTTTTTCTACATAAAACTCGATATATTATTGGGTGGGGTGTATGTAGTAACCAGAAAAAATTAATAAAGGTTCAATCACAATCTTCAGAGTGAAAGGCAATACATTGAAAGGGAAATATTTTTTAGGAGAGATTAGTTTTCACGAAAAATGTTATATTTTTAGTTTTCTACTTCTCTATCTTTATACACAAAATGTAGGAAACTCCCAAAAAAATCAATAAAGCTCAAAATGAAATTTTTACAAAGTTGTGAATCATCCATAGAAGTTTGTTTCAGAAAAAAACTAAAAGAAGCACATTTTAAATAACTACCTGAACTTGAACATTGAATTACATGAAGGATGTTTCCCACATTTTTTTGTATAGAGACGGAGATGTAGAACGGTAAAAAGCCACCAGTAACTGATGAAGCTACTGTGTAGAGGTACGTGTTTTGAATAAAATTTATTGCGAAAATTCTATAGTTAGTATCATGGATAATGTTCATCAAGTAACGGGTCAGACTATTCATAATTGAAAAAGCTTCTATCCTGAAAATCAATATTTTGCTCCTTCAGCTGTCAAAAAAATCTGCCACCTTGTTTTCCTAATCGTTCACTCCTACTATCACAAAATAGTATTTACCACCAAATATTGTAGCTTTCGATGCAAAATTGAGCAATTATTCATTTTTAACCTTATTTGCAATGATGTTCTAAAATGCTTGCAACAGATTTTATCAAAGGGTTAGAGTTATTTGAATTAGACTTTTTCCAACAGTGGGCAAATTGATGAAATTAAAAACAAACCTCTTGGTACACTTGAATGTCTTCTACTATGTATTCCCCCAAAACCACCACAAACAGATGGTTGTCTCGATTCGGAATTCAACTTAGGGCTCCTTCCAGGAAAAGAAAATAAGTGGGGAAGTTTTGCCAGATCTACTTCTCTACTCTGTACTGCATGTTCTGTTGCCCCTGTTAGCCAGTAAGTTCTTACATTCCCTTTGCCCTTCATGGAAACAATACCTCTTTCTTCTATAATATAGCCACCTAGTTTATCTAGTGCATCCTTGCATTGAGCACTGATGTGAATTTTAAGGGGTTCCCCATTGTTTTCCATTCTGGAAGCTGTATTGACAGTGTCTCCAAAAAGACAATAACGTGGCATTGTTAGGCCTACCACTCCCGCTACTACAGGACCTGAGTGAAATGGAGAAACTGATTTAAAAAATTGACCTATTGAATAAATGATAATTCTCAACCTGTGTGGATTCCTATTCTCAATTTCAATGAATCATTTGGTCTATGAGCTATTGAATAGTTTTTCACAGCACATAATAAGTCTAAGGCCATAGAAGCGATTTCTCCAGCGTGCTTATCACCATTTCTAATTGGTAATCCTGATACCTGGAACGAACAGACTGATTTTTGATAAAATATTTTTATTGTAAAAAGTAGAACCTGAGCTTTCAATAATTTGATGTGTAGCAGCAGAAACCTAAGAACTAGAAAATGATACAGTAGGATATAATAAATCAAAACTGTGTATTTTGTTGAATACACATTTGCACAGAAACAAATTTGAAAAAATAGGCTTACTCACAGAATACTACTCCTCGGGAAAAAATATCATATTTATAAAATACCTTGTTCTAGTAATAAAAGTTATAATGGTGAAACTACATGACTATCAACAGTACGTGAGAATAAAAATCGAGTTTATATCAGAAATAGACAGAATCAAAATTACCAGAACACATTTTGAAATCAGACAGTGAACATCAAGTTGAACCGAATAAGATGAAAATGATTGTCAACCACTTCAAGAGTAATAATAATTTTCGCCTCCGAAACTTTAAGGTGAATTGTATAATTTCTTAGTTCTTTTTTTTAATAGACAAAATTGATAAGCACAAGTTACTAATGTATAGAACATCTTTCTTTAGGAAAAATACTTTGGATTATACAGTAACTTATAAAGGTGAACTTAAAAGTTGTCCCTTTCTACATCTGTATAAAGTTCTCCCCCATTACAATTTTTGTATTTTTTCAGATTGTGGAGGGTGAAAAAACCCAAAAAAGGTGGATAAAAAATCATAGATCTTATCTTTACAAAATTATCATGTACTATTTCTCTAAAAACTGAATTTTTATAAAAAAAACGTTATGTTTCAGTTTTCTTAGATCCAAATTATACAAATCTCTCATGTTTCATCATTATGGAATCATTAAATCACTAAGTGGTAGTTCAGTTAAGAGTGTGCATATAAAAAAATCAATATATTCATTAATACATATGTTAGGAATCGCACGTTGAAATTCAAGACCTTGTTAAACCTTATGTCATTGTCATTTTCATTCGTAAACAACCGTCAGCTGGTTAACGGAAAAATATATTTCAAAATATACACTTTCATACTAAACTTTCCACTTAAAAAGAACAAAATGAAGGCTTGTAGGTTATGGACAATTGGAACTTATTGTACTAAACGTTTTGTCTGTCGCCGCGGCAGACATCCTGAGTAGTACGCGCGTTGACTGAAAGGACAAAGCTATTATCTCAAAGTCTCAGCAACAAGTCGTTGCTGAGACTTCAGTAGACCACGACCTACTAGCCCAGATTTTGTTCTCTTCAATCGTGAATCCCGTCATCAAAGCCTTTGTACTTATATTTCCTCCATTTATTTGTTAAATTTTTGAACTTGAAGAAAGATTTTAGCCTGCCCTCCACCTAGGCGACAGTTCTGAGTAAATAGTTCACCGTAAATTCCTTTGCATGGACTACACAGATAAGAAGGGTATATAACCTTCCTAGTTCTTAGATTTTTGTGTAATCTATAAGGAAAAATAAATCTAATAAGATTTTTTATAAACATACCAGAACTGTGAAATCATTTTGCTAAGTAGAAAATGATTATAAATTAACAATGATGATTTGCCTATGATGACGACTTGGTCAGTGACACATACATCAAGAATTGGGTTTTCAGAGTTCTGACTCGTGTGAAAAGTAATTTTGTTTTAAAATATGCTATAAAGTTTTCATTATTCATAATTATGTTATAAGATCTGAATAGTTTATCTATAGCAAATCTTGGACAGAAGTTTTCATTATGTATAATTATGTTATAAGATCTGAATAGTTTATGTTTAGCAAATCTTGGACAGAAATCTCACTATTATGAGCAAAAATGGTGTTTATTTATTAATATTGTATTTTCATGATGTTACTTATAATTTCAGAAAACCGCCCTCTTGTTAGGAAATTTGTAAAAAACTTGTAATAGTAATTCTTCAAAAAACATTCAGGAAATTGTTGACGGAATTGTCAAATGCAAAATTACAATCTTGTCATATTTTATAAGTGTGCTTATTCGATATTTACAACTATCTCTAGCCGGTGTTTTCAGAAAATACCTATTTGCTTACCACCATGTATGCATCTCCAATTGTTTCAACTTTGTATACATTGTAACCCTTTATAATGCCATCGAATACTGTATAGAGATCATTTAGAAAATTAACTACTTGTAATGGAGTACTTTCTGCAGACATCGCAGTAAAACCTACAATGTCACTGAAATATATGGTTACTAAGTCAAATGATTCTGGTTCAACACCAAGGCCCAGGGTTAACCTCTCCGCAACAGGTCTGAAAATGAAAATAAAATCTATTTTTCGGTTTCAAATGAATGTGCTTGTGACTTGTGTAGAGTACAATCAAGTGTGAAATATAGTTTCAAAATATTATTAATATACTTGTTGTGATTCAATGAAGACTCTCACTAATCTGTCATTCATCAGCCTGGCACTCCAATGAACTCTGTTTTCGACAAGTGTTATGATGACATTGAAATCAAGATACTGAGTTACTGAAAAAACAACGCAAACAAAGTACTACGATCGTGATTTACTTACGAAAATGTTAAAAAACAATTTTTGAATACTCCTTGATTTAAATTCAGATCACACTATTCAAACTTAAAATGATACCTATTAGTTGTGATGCACTGTTTGGAACCTTTGGTGGAGTAATGAATATTACTGGAGTTTTATCCCAACACCAAACCGTTATTTTAACACCTCGACACGTGTTTGTATCACCAAGTGATCATCTTCAAGAGGAAGATTAAACTGAAGATGATCACTTGGTGATCGAAACACGTGTCTATTTGTAAAATAACGGTTTGGTGTTGGGATAAAACTTCAGTAATATTCAATGCCTATTAGAATTAAGAAAATATATTTTGTGCACTTCATTTATTTAATTTTTTCACTAAAGCCAGTCTGATATCTTCTGGATTAGTGAGAGTACACTATATAAGGGTAAACTCACTTTGGCAACATTCTATGTAACAAATCTTCTGTTTTCATTTTTTCTTCATATAGCAACCTGGTTCTTTCATTGACGAGTTCTTCTAAATGATTAGCATAGGTAACCATCATATCCATCATTTGGTCCATAATATTCTTATTTCTGAAAATGAAAAACTCTTACCATTTCTCAATTTAGAACATATACAAATCTATTTAGATATATATTTATATAACTTTATATCTCAATTGTAATAGGTTGATTGGTAAACACTAGGAATTGTCTATATTGGTTATTTGTCTTGTGTCCTGGGTAGTCAACGTTATAACTTCCTGATCCACCTAGGGACCATCATGACTATTCACAGTCCGTCAGCCATGTAACATTGCAGAATCATTCCAGCTTCAACTAGATAAATTCTCTCGAGAAAAATATCTGGTTGAGGTTGGGATCGAACTCACGACCAAAAGGTCGTGAGTAGAGCGCACTACCGCTGCGCCAATTCACCGCTACTAGCAATTATTATCATTATAAATAAGTACATTGTTCTAATCAGAACAATATATTTCCATCGCAAAATAGGCCCCGAAATGAAAGCGTCATACTTTCATTTAATGACAAATGAAATGCCTACTACATTCTAAGACGACTGTCTCAAAAATTAAGTAAAATATTCTTGAATATCAAAAGTTTGAAGTTTATGTGTTGGAATTCGCCAATATTTGATGAAAATCCATGATAATGTTGTAGTTTTGTAAATTATCCAGTTGAAATCATAAAATAGTGTTACTAAAGAAAAGTTCAAAAGACTACCATATCGTTCTTTTCAAAGTTACTGTTCATTTGAATGAATAATCATCTTTATGCTATAAAAATAACATTTTTTTATCGACCTTTTTTGGGTAATTGTTACCTTCCACAATCTTTTATATTTTTTCAGATTGTGGAAGGTAACAATTACCCAAAAAAGGTCGATAAAAAACTGATTTTTTCCTCCACAAAAAATGACTTTCGTTGAATAAAAATAACATGTATTGTTCCATATCATCTCTCAACCCTAGAATTATGTGAAATATAAAAAGTATTTGTATTGCGCAGAGAAAGTTGTGAATAATTTACAATAGTTACATTGAAACCTACTCACTTCACGACATTACGACTGTCAGTATCCATAAGTTTTTTTTAGTCAATATTAAAATATCGAAGAAAAATTCCATAAATAGAATGAATTGTATACGAGGTAGATCACAAAGTTCTGAAGACATGCACTCATAAATTATAAGTGGAATTTTTCTTGATAAGATAGAAGTTGTCAAACATTTTACACAAACGAATATTCTTGAAATATAGCGCTCAATATATGAAACTGAATAATATACATCATCTTAACTTACTTTCCATCTTTCATCCTCTTCAATCTGGTTCTTATAACAGAGAAGTCGGGTCTGTTGTCAGGATTTTCTGACCAACAATCTTTGATACATTGTAAAATGTACTCATCACAGCCTAATTCGGAATCATTTAGAATTTCTAAGTCCGGTCTGAAGGGTTCCTCATCGAAAGGCTCCTTTTTGATAAGCTCAATTATTTC